TTGGCTCTGGAAAAATAACCCTTGGAGTAGTTGGGAGTGGCACAGTAGGTGAAATGCTAAACTGTTAACCACAGGCCAGTAGGGATCAAACTCACTGACTACTCATTGGATAAAGATGAGGCGATCTACTTCCATCAAGATTTAAGAGTTAGGAAAACCTATGGGGCAGGTCTACTGTCAAATTGGGTCAACAGGAGTTGGTAGCAACTCAACAGCACCAAGTTGTACAGAAATAGCCTAGAACATGAAGGTTCAAAGAGCTTCCTAGCTGCTATGACTACATGCCATCCAGAGAACAGCATTTTCCTAAGGACATGGAAGCTCTTATGTTGGGAACCCTCTTAGATTTTGTCCTATGCTCCTCTTTGTATCTTTTTTGCCTATAGTAAACCTGCAGTTTTAAGCATGATATACTCTGTGAATTCTGAGAGTTGTTCCAGTGAATTTTCAAACCCAGTCATAATATGCATCAGAAGGTTAGAAAGTTGAGGTGTTATACAGTGTCTTCAAAATTTGCAACTGACGTCTACCTATTTGGCAGTCTGAGGGATAGTGTCCTTTTAACTTCTGAGTTCTGACTTAGCTCCAAGTAGCCAGAGTCAAAAAAAGAATATGTGCCACTGAGGGTAGGGGTAGGAAGTGAGGGAAAGACAGAGGAGAAGGGTAATGAGAATTTTTAAATGGGCATGTGAGAGCGGAATCAATGTCTATCTACATTTCGGGAATTGAATTCACGCTGATCCGTATGGCACAGACCCAATAGTAACATCACTACAGATTTATAACATCACTAAAGGATATAATAGGCTAGTACTTTTTTGCTTCTTAAACATCACCTGTGTGGGAAATTTCTCACACTTTTTTTTAAAGATATACCATTCTGTGATCCAATTATACTTGACAAAGTAAATGGCATTGAAAAAAATAACTGAAAGGCATTCAAATATTCCTGGAAAGATTTGTAGGATATTTCATAGTATTATTCACAAAGATATAAATTGATTCTCAGTACATGCCTACAAAATAGAATTTCCTATTTTAAAAATTATGAATCAGAAAATAGAATGAGTTGGGTTATATGTGAAAAAGATGGTCACTAGATTCAAATTCATGATTCAATAGTCCTTTCACCATCCTAGTACTTCCATTAGATTCGTATGCTAATGAAATGGCTTATGTAAAAGACTATTACACAGGATAAACAATTGAGAACATCCAAGGAAGTGACCAAAACAATGTCATAAACTCATATTAAGCTTCCAAATTTATTATGATCTCAGTGTTCTAGCATAACTCGAAAACTACTACCCATCTCAAAAATAATCCCAGAGGTCCACTTCATACTTGCAGTTGTGAAATGCAACATGGCACTACAACCATGAACAATAATACTCTTTTTAATAGTAAGATGCATGTAGTAATCACTGGTGAAGTATCAAATGAGGAAGGAAATTTGTCTCAAGAACAGAAGACAGGAAGGTAGAAAATTTCCCAGAGGTCCTTATCTGAAGATATCACTAATTTCAATCAAGTCAATTTTTCTCCTGCAGTGAGAATGCCAAATCAAGGAGTTGGCTTATGCTATATGCAATTCTAATAATCTTAGTAGCCAGAGTTCTAAAATAAGGGACTAGATGCTGACAAATATGATGATTACCATATAGTAACTCATTTAAAAATTTTAATACCATCCAAACAGCCTCGTTGTTCTCATTCTATTCAATATACTTATAAGCAAATATTATAGAATTTAAACTAATAAAATTATATTTTCTGAGCTGTTGATGGATTCACGCCACATGCCAATGAATTCTCTCCAATTCATGGCAACCTTATATATAACAGAACAAAACACTCCCCCTGCCTGTGACCTCTCTATGACCTTTCATATGTTTGGGCCCATTCTTGTGGCTATTATGCCAACTCATATCACGGAAGGTAACCCTAAACTTTTGCCGAACACAATGTTATTACCACATTTCACCCTTTTAGATTTTCAGATCACATAGAACAATTAATTTGAGAAACATGTTTTAAACATTAGAATCCCCGCCTCCCTGACAGTACTTTGTTCATACCGAGAACAATGAGAGAACCCTGATTAAGGACAGCACTTTCTCAATCCCATGTCTTACTTACTCTACGGTAGAATTCTATTGAAAGAAATGAAGGATGGAATTCTTTGCCCATCTTCAATTTTTTTATGGGCAAGTTCAAATGATTGTAGTATACCACAGAAGCTATTTAAGCTTTCTAATCCATTAAGTTATAAGAGTGAAATAAGTGATAAAACTATTTATGGAACAGAAATAGTATTTTTATGCCAATAAATAAATGATTAAATTTTAAAAAAACAATATGGGCATAATCTGTTAAACCAGAAGTTAAGCAAATCAAAGCTTGTGTGAACATAATATACAGGCTCAAAAACCTCACTGCCATTGAATCAACGGTACACAGGCAGTACCCATAAAATCTGTAGTCATATCCCTATAAAGCCTGTTATATTAAAACCTGAGGGGATCCACATGAAAGCTGCTTTCACTGGATACAGGAGGCCAGCCTGGCCAGATGTGCAGCTGGGATGGGCAAAGAATGTGCTGGCAGTCAGATTGGTACTTTGCACATTGTCTGGGCAGGGAGAGGTGTATAGAGAAGTAGCCCAGGGGACCAGGTCAGGCACCTAGCTGACAAAGGTGGCCCTGGCTGCCACGGACTTATTAGTACATCACTTCCTTATCGTGTCAGGATACCACTGCCTGGAGCCCACAAGCACCCTAGACCCAGTCAACACTGCCAACACACAGACACATAAAAGCCACAGCAGGCGCTACCCTGTACTAGTGAACATGCATGGTTGCTGGGTAAACAAATCAAGCTAGGAGAGGGGGAAGAAAAGAAATGGATGGCTTACGCCCAACGCTGCTCCTCTAAGGCAGGGATGGGGAACTTCCAGTCCGCTGACCTTAAGGCCTACAAAATCATCAGTACCAGCTAACATCACATGCCTTCCTCCCAAAGAGAGGCAGTTACAGCCATCGCATTTGAGATGAGTCAATTAAATGTTTGACCAAATATAGAAGGCTAATTTTTATGAAGTTGGTAACTTTGTATGGCCCTTGGATAATATTAAAAATATCTAAATGAACTTGGCAGGAAAAAAGTTTCCCCATCCCTGCTCTAAGGGGTTAGGGTCTTTAATACCATCTGGAGGAAATAATAACCAAACTATGGGGAAAATAATAGACTTAAAAAAATAAAAAACAAATGGATGGATGTATAGATTATGATAAGAATTTTACGAGTTCCCAATAAAATGATTTAAAAAGTAAAAAACTATGGACCTACCAACATATTATCCAAACAGACACTAAGTGATGCATACCTATCTATAGTTTGTAAAACAAAAGCAAACCTTAATAACAATTAATAAACACAAATTTGCATTAAGGTAATAATTTTAAAGGGTAAACAATGCTAGCCAAAAGACTGAAGGCTCAAGTCCACATAAAGGTCCCTCAGAAGAAAGGCCTGGCAATCTAAGTCCAAACAATGAGTCATTGAAAATCTTATGGAGCCAGTTCTAGTCTGACACACATGAAATCACCATGAGGTAGCACTGACAGTAGGGTTTGGGTTCATTAAAATAAAAAAGAACATAAAGAATCTATGTTCTACAGTACCTTAACTGAACTCCCCAGTATCTCAGCATTTGGGGTTCTACAAATGAAAGAACTCAATTCTGACATTCATGTGAATTTCAGTATTTGTTTATATCAAAGCAATATTCTATTACATATACTTGCAATAAATAACTATTATAAATTTAACATTATAAATGAACAATAAAATATCACATTTATCTCCCTTTTACATCTTTCAGATATAATTACATAAGAACTTGCAATAAGTTGCTGCATTAAAAAACTCAAACATACTGTTCTGTGCTGTATTAGTTGGAGATATAGTCATAATACTTCACTAACAAATTCATGGAAGTGTATTATCCACTTAAAATTTTTTTAATTAATGAGTACTGCAATTTAAGCATTAAAATTTTTAAAATAGCTTCTGCTCTCTAGAATATTAGCTTCATTCTCATCTTTCTGAGTAATTGGAATTACAATATCTCAATAAACATCTCTAATCCAGGACAATGTAAGAAGGCTTTTGGAAAGTCGTGAACCTAAATTCATTACATTTTTGAGCAATATAACTATTGAAAATGCAAATTTCACTAAAACTGAAACGGACATGCACAATTAATATAATTTAAGTAGCTAAAACAATTCAGCTCTATGTTTTCATATTAGAATGTATTAAAAAAAAAAAGCGTTGCCCGGGCCTAGAATATAAGAATTTTTTCCAAATTTAAAACCTGAATCTGAATGCTAATCTAAGCAAAATGTAATTAGAATGAAAAATTAAGTACCAATAAAATTGTGAGAGCTGGAGGGCCAAGATAGATAGCATATCCCCCCCCAAAAAAAGGTCTTAAAGCATTTTAAAATTTTCTTTCATCAACTATGACTTACAACCAGAGTAAACATTTCCCCCCCAAAATCATCAAATACCTTCAAACAAAAATAACATTACAATCCATAAAAAGAAAAAGTAAAATACCTCTTCCTGCAAAAAAGGGTTTATGATTTTTTTCTAAAAAAACATATTCAAACATTGTATTATTTTTAATTTTTACAAATAATTACCAAACAAACTAAAATATTCAACACAAAAATAAGTTAATTAAGTCCAGAAGGGTATTAGTGTGGTAATCAAATGTTCTGGCAATGAGACAACATAAGATGGTGAGAAATTACAGGAATTTAACCTTTGACCTCACCATCCTATGTCCTGTATTCATAATAGAAGCTTAAAGGTTCTATCAGCAAACATTTATTTCAACTTCTTAAAATAAAACCTCCAAGTTTGCCTTCCAAAATAAACTCAGATGTTTTTAAAGTCAACTATTTAAAGATAAAAAGTAATTTAGTTCTTACCTCTGGTCCTGATGCATGTGACAAGTCTCCTTATTGGCATACCTGCTGGCTAAGCAGCTACAAAGACTAGGTCAGCAGCCATTTTGAGACAGCTGCACTGTCTCAGTTGCACTAAAGTGTAATTAAGATGGCTGCAATGTGCACTCAAGAACTCACACAGTGAAAACTAAGCTAATGTATCAAACAAAGCCCCTCCCACTTTGTCAGCCTGCAGGAAACAGAGCTCTCAGACAACAGCTAATGCATATACTGCAACAAACAGTGCAGCTATTCAGGATACAGAAAAAGAAAAGAGAAGGCAGCAAGCCAGTTTGTAACATAATGCCTGTGAATCCCGACTTGCAATACAGACTTTGGGCACATCCAGATCCCAGACAGCTCGAAATCCACGCCACATATTAGCAGTTACAGAGATAGAGCCAAATCACACAGAGCAAACAGTAGGGAATTTGCTTGAAAGAAAACCCTTATTTCAGTCCAGAAAAGAGTCAAAGTCAAATTCTGCTCAAGGTCTTCCCCCCTACCTTTTATAAGTACTTTAATCACTAAATGACTGTCAATTTTGTAATTTCTGGTATATTAAATTTTTTTAAATCCTAGTAGTCATTTAATCAAGTTAATTTCAATTATAGAAAGTAAAACATTTCTCCCACAGAATTTCAGCCCAACAGACTCAAATCTAACAGGATGGTTAAAGCATTCGTAAGTGTGACATCTTGACAATTATTTTAAATAACCATTGAGGAGGGGCAGGGATCATTAGAGCTAAGATGGCAACAAAGCCAAATTTGAGCCACTCATCAAAAAACAAAACTATTTCGTTTCCAGTAGTGCAGATGGTCAGAGACATTCCCACATGAAACATTTGGTCCCAGGAAGGACAAATTCCAGTTCATACCACCCCACATACCATTTCCATACGAGTTAAAAAGTAAAGTAATAATACGGACACCTTTAGAAAAAGTAGTAGAGAACATGAAATGGTAAAATTCGGTCCGACATTAAGTATATAAAGACAAGTTTTAGAGATCCCAGTGTGTTGGCTGTACCATAGCCATCAGGAGAAGGGGGAGGCAAAGCACACAAAGAATTGCTTGATTTGCTCACAGTGCCCTGAGAATCTTTTCTTCTGCAGTCCATGATCTGCCTTCTTAAAACTTCCGAGCCCTGTGCTACTTTGTTTCTATTAGGTGTACTTATTAAAATTATTTAAGGGTACAGGGCATTGATAAAGGCATAACTAAAAGTCGATAACCACAGGAGTTGGACACATGGGATTTACTAATTCACTCTACTTCTGTATTTTAAATGAGGCAAACTGGAATGGATATATATATATATATACCAAGACCAAACTCACTGCCGTCGAGTCAATATTGACTCAAAGCAACACTATAGGACAAGGCAAACTGCCCCTGTGAGTTTCCAAAACTGTTAACTGTTTATAGGTGTAGAAAACCCTGTCTTTCTCCCTCCCTTGGAGCAGCTGTATTTCGAACTGCCAACCTTGTGGCATAACTACAAGTTTCTTAAATACTGTTGCATTTAAAAAAAAAAGCACACTAATTTAATTCCCTGTGATAAAGTGTCTGAGGGCAGCTTCAAATGAAACTCTATACATTAATAGGGAACCAATGGTAAACTAGAAAGGAGTGCAACAGAAAAGACAACGAATTACTATGAGCAATAGAATCTGAGTAAGGTAAAGGAAGAGTGTCTGGGGGGGTGGGGGTACCGGGGCTGACACACAACCAACCAAAAAATTTGGAGCTGCCTGAACAGCTCTGTCCTTCAAGAAGCAGATTCCACAAAGATTTAAGTTATGTAACACATCCTCACCCCCACCCCCAAGGCCTCCTGCCCCACCCCAAAAATCTCTCATAAAACCTCCCTTATTTTGCCAAATCCTTTCCATTGTAAATTCAGATTACTTCTTCCCTGGTCTCAAAACTTTCCTAAACAAGCTGCTGGCTTACCACAGAGTAGCAATGAGTCTGCACTGACTGGGTATCAGTGAGTTGTTTGTTTTGAGCTAATGTAGACTTCCGAAGAAGCAGCTATCTAAATTCCATCATTAACCAATCCTCTTCTAACTACCCCAATCATCTATCTTACTATCAATTCTCTGCAATGAGTCAAATCAATAAATACATTGTCTTACCCTAGGGAAAAGGAGTAGAGCAGTAGGTTGATAGGGATTAAGTCTTAGGTTTTATATACATTATGTACAGTAAAAAAAAGGAGTCAGAGCTGAAATAAAATCCCACGTCACACTCAGCCTTATCCACATTATTTCTATTTCTGTACCTGTTGGAAAGAGTTTAGAAAGATGAAATGGTTATAGACCATTACTCAGACAGCTAATACCACTGCCATGAACACCACTGCTTAAGTTTTCAACGTCGTTAATTTTTATGTGCCTTTGCTCATGCTTTACCCTATTTCCCAAAGATCCTACCCTAGTTCAGCCATTTGTATCCTTCAACTTAAATCATCTAATCATTGACAATCCTTTCCTTAGTCTTTCTTACTTAGGAGATACAATTTCTCCCTCAAGATTTTTATGCATACCATTATACTCACATTTCATTATTTATATCCTTTTATATATATATCTTTTTTATCATTGCTTAAAATGAAAGAAATCAATCTCACCTGCCATTATCTTAAATACTGTGAAATACAAAATTTACTGATTTTCTCAATAGATGGTGAGTTAAAAGTTAATTTTAACGTTTTCATTCTATCACAAACATCTTACATTTCTACATCTTTAAGAATGTTTATTTTAGGTCTTCAACTTATACTTTCTACAAAAAATAATCACTCAACTATAGGGTTCCAGGTAGCTGAGTTGTCTACAGAAACAAAACCAGCAAAAATGTACGTGCATAAAGAACTTTATATAAATAAATAATTTTGTATCAAGAAGGCATCCAAGCCCAGTCCAACTCAAGTCCATGGGTCCAATGATAGTCAGGGCCTCTTTAGACTTACATAACCAAAGGCCAATGATACAGGAGCAGAATGCACGGAGATCACAAGTGGACAGTTCAGTGAATCCAATATTGTGGAAACATAGCAAGGCACCAACATCTCAGAGGTTAGCTCCCAGGATCAGCAGTCCACACCGGGCTGCCCCATGGAGGCAGACAAAGTCCCAACAAGGATGAAGGTGAAGGGTGAGAGAGAAGGGAAGTTTTCACTGTTTCTCTTACAGAAAAGACCCCTCCCCTCCTGCCCACCCCCAAAGAGGATCAGGCTGTGATCCTATTGATAGGTTAGACTCCACCCCTACACTTTGACACGGATGCAAGTTGACACAAAATCTAACTGCCATCCCTGCCACCACTAAACTCTTTTGCGCTTTAGAATCCAAGCTAGGAAAATACCTTTTGTAAAGAATTTTTCAGTTTACAAAGTGTTTTACCATAGAGGTGCTTGGCTTCTAACTGGTGGTTCAAACTCACCCCCAGGCTCAACAGGAGAAGTGCATGGTACTATCCCCCATAAAGATTACAACTTCGAAAACTTGATAGGGTGGTTCTATTTTGTCACACAGGGTTGCTATGAGTCAGAATCTACTCAATGGCACCTAAAACTACCACTTCCACTAGAGGAGCTATTATGGGTCTGAGTTGAGTCCATAGTAAATATTAAAAGATAAGGAATCTACTTTGAAATGTTACTATATTCTAAGAAAGAACATAATTTATTGTACAATCTCATACATTATCTTACAAACTTGTTTTAGATAGGATCATGTGTACTGATCCATTTCTTTGTAAACCATACATACTTGGAAGCAATTTCTGATGTTAGGCAAATCTTTCACATGATTACCCACTATTTTTCTCTAATTAAAAACTAGCACTTCTCAGTTTTTATTTTCTTCAATTTCACTCTTAAAATGAAGACAAAACAAACAGTACAACTGATCTAATGCCACATTTTTACCAACAGAAAATCTAACTATTTGCCAGGAGGCCCATAAGTAGTAATGAGGGGGGAAAAAAAAACCTGAATGGAATTAAGTCTAGCCAACTACTATAGATAGATACAGATATATAGAAAATGACATATGAAAATTATTGAAAATCCCATAAAAGCACAATAAAATGTTTTACTGTGTTTGACAAATATATCCATTATCAAGATATATATCTTTAAAAAGAATAGGCATGTCAATAGGATATCAAGATTAGTGTTTCCCAAAGTGGGTGGTACCACCATCTCGTGTGGGGGGGGGCGGGGAACACGGGGGACACTAGAATAATCCCAGGGTGAGGGGGCAAAGGCATTCAAAAGAGTTCAAAAGCAGATACCTCCATTTTGTCCTGGGTTATATGAGCCATAGTACAATAGCATTTAATTACCAGGGGTGCTGAGTAATGTTTTTCCCCTACAAGGAAGATGGTAGGCCAAATAAGGTTGGGAACCTATGGTCAAAATAGCAAATTTACAACTCCAACCTTCACTCCATCTTTAAAGTTCACAAAAACTACTTTAAAGGCATAAATCCATTTAAGACACAAATTCTCAATAATAGAAAGAAAAGCGGTAATAGCTATAACTATTTTCAAAGTAAGCAAGACCAGGGATGCCTAACTTGGTCAACAAATCTCCAAATTCCAAGATGTAGTGGGGACAAATTAAGAATGGTGCTGTTTTACACTGCAGAACCCTGAAGACAGGACTAAAAGAGCCCTGAAAAAATGGGAGTGTAAGTGACACAGAGTAAGATGATGAAGCTCTAAAATGGAATAGCGAACACTGTTTGAGAGGTAGTAAGATACCCTAAATGTCCTCTACAAAAGCATTCAATTGAGTAACTACTGTCTCCAACCCTAGTCTGAAAATAGTAGCCATAGTTAAAAATGTAAGTACCATACCAAAAGGGAAGCACTGACAGCTGACTCGATTCCAGTCTAATCTCCCATAATGCTGCAGTCAGACTCTTATTTTCCCCATGTATGAAATAGAAAGACTTTTCTCTGGGAGTATCTCATTAGCCACCAAAAAAGAAAATAAATAAAACTTCAAAGGATTTACTGGCATTCCCCCAAAACGGTCTGCCCAGAACATCTTACTATGAAAATAACCTGACAAATTCAGAAACTTCATCTTGTTAGTCTCTCACATCACATTATACAGTCAAAGAAATGGAAAGCATAGGTGAAATCTCTACCACAGAAAAT